GTGTTCAAAGATAGGAAGAATTAACAGCACTAAAATGTCCATACCCAAAACAATCTATAGATTCAACACAATTCTTATCAAGATTCCAATGATGTATTTCACAGAACAAGAACAAATATTTCTAAATTTATTATTATTACTTTATTTATAAAATTGATATGTAGAAATCACAAAAGGCCCTTCATAGCAACAGTGATCCTGAGAAAGAGTGAAGATGGAGGAATCATGCTACCTAATATCAAACTATACTATGAGGCCATAGTAACAAAAAAAACTGTGGTATTGGCATAAAAAAAGACACATAGATCAATGGAACAGAATAGAGAGTCCAGAAATAAACCCACAGTGTTTTGCCCTACACTATGTATCCATACTCTAATTTCATTTTTGAAGCTTAATGAGATGACTATAGAGGTTATGTAAACATTAAGTCTTTATTTTAAATATTTTATTTATTTATTTTTAGAGAGAGGGGGTGGAAGAAAGAGAGGGAGAGAAACATACATGTGAGAGAGAAATATCAATTGGTTATCTCTCACACATACCCTGACCAGGGACCGAAACCACAACCTAGGCATGTGCCTTGACCAAGAATCGAACCGGCGAACCCTCACTTTGAGGGACCAGGCTCAACCAACTGAGCCACACTGGCCAGGGAAACATTAAATGTTAATAGCACAGCATGACGATACTAATAAAGTGAGTTCTAGCTTTGCAGCATACTAGGACAGGCCTTTATCTAAATCTCAAGCAGCTTTTAGAAATTCACAGATGTATTAACCATATGAAACACAATGAGTAAATAGAATACAGGCCCCATTAAGAGTGGAGGGACTACGGAGGCATCACAGTCATGCAAGTAATATGATAGAAAGATTGTAAAAATGGGAATCTACGGTATTATAGTTCTGGTTTTGTCACCACTTAGATCCATGACTCTGGGAAAGGCACTAAATCTCTCTTGCCTGGATTTACTTAAAATGTGATGAAAAGGTTAGTCCAAATAGGCCATAATTTATTTCTCAAAATAAAAAGCTTATTTTTATTTTGAGATCATTTTAGATTTATAGAGTTTTAAGAAATAATAGAGATATCCTGTATACCCTTTATGTACTTCCTCAAATAGTAACATATTACAAACACTAGTTAGTGAACATCACAACCAATTAATACTAATATTAATATAGTCAAGATACATAATAATTCCTTGTTTTCTGACAGTTTTTAATCATGAATGAGTGTTGGGTTTTTTAATATTTTTTAAATATAATATGATTTTCTACAACATTGTTGGATATTTGCTGAAGAAGACTTGCATCGGAGGAGCAATCTCCACTTAGTCTTGGTGTATAATTCTTTTTATAGTTTGCTGAATTATATCTGTTAATAATTTGTTAGGAATCATTGCATATGTAATCTTAAGGAATATAGTTTGGTCTGTTGGGTTTTTTTTTGGTTTTGCTATTCGGGGAATACTAGTTTCTTCAATGAATTGGGGAGTGCTCTCACCTCCTCTGTTTTTTGAAACAGGGTGTGTAGAATGTTAATTCTTCCTTAAGCATTTTGTAGATTCCTCCAGCAAAACCATCTAGACCTGGACACTTCCCTTTTACTAAGTATTAAATGATAAATTCAATTTCCTTTATACTTGTGGAGCTAACCAAATTTATAAATTTAATATATTGGGTGATATAATGTAGCTTGTTTTTCTTGGAAAGTTGATTCAATTCATCTATCTTATCAAACTTATGTGTATACAATTACTTATAGCATCTTATTATTATTCTTTGCTACTGGAGTGTCTGCAGTGAAATGTCCTATTGCATTCCTGACATTGGTCACTTGTGTGTTATTTTTTTCCCTTTGCCAATCATACCAATTGTTGTTAATTCTATGATCTTTCAGAGACTCAGTTCTTTGTATCATTGATTATGCTTTTTGTTTTCCGTTTTATTAATTTCTTATCTCTTTCACTTTCTTCCTTCTGCTTTTTATTTATTTTGACATTTTGGTTTCTGGATACTTGAGGTGGGAGCTTACATTATGATTTGAGACTTTCCTTTTTCTAATGTATTAACTTGTTATATATATGGTATATTTCACTCTCAGTACTATTTTATCTGAATCACAAAAATGTTTTGTTCTATTTCATTTATATGTAATTTATGGTATCTTGAAATTTTTCATTTGCAAATTCCTTTTTGACATATGGAATGTTTACAAGTGTGATGTTTCATTTATAAGTTTTTTAGGACTTTTCTGTTATCTTCCTTTTACTGATTTTTAGATTGCTTTCCTTGTTGTCCTTTCTTTGACAATCAATTTTTGAAATTTATTTTATAGTCCCAGGCATGGTCTATTTTAGTACATAGGTTTCCTTTTATATTCTCTTTCTTTGATTAGCATTTCTATTTCCTTGATAAGATTTCCTGGAAAAATAATTTGTTTGAAGTGTATCATTGTATTTTTTTAATGATGGTGCTTTTAAAATCTTTAGTAATTCTAATATCTCTCTTATCTCAGGGTTGGGATCTATTGGTCATCTCTATTCATTTAGTTTAAGATCTTCCTGTTTCTTAATGTGATGAGTGACTTTTAACTGAACCCTGGGTAGTTTAGATATCACATGAGACTCTAGAAATGATCTAAACTTTGTGTCTTGGGTGGCTCACTCCGACACAGTTCCAGTAGGGGAATGGGAATGGGAATGAACGGCAGGACACTGCCTCCTCACGGCCTGGTGGGGATCGAGTCTCAGCTTCCTCACTCAGCCTCCTCATTACGGCTTGACAGGGCTGAGGATGCTAATGCTAAGATAAGTTTCATTTACCTTTCAAATGCTCAGTAAAGTCACAGAAGTGCTGAAAAGATAGGGCCTCGGGAAAAGCAGATGGTCTCCGCAACAGGTACAGATATGACAGTAATATGGCAGGATGGGATGAATGCTACTCTATGATTTGTTACTTAAAATAAAAATTAGAGAAAATAGCATGGAAAAAATAAAATATATGTAGAATAGTCATTATTATCATTAGAGCAAATAAAACCTTAAAGTATCCTCTTTGAGTTCATAAATGTAATGTCAACTTATAGTTGGAGAGATATCTTAGACCCCTGCTTTTCAAAGCCCAGATTTCATCTACCTGTAGCAGAATCACCTGGTGAACTTGCTGAATGTAGATTTCCTGAGCTCCAACCCCAATCAATATGAACTTATTTTTTTAATGGATCTTTTTTTTATAGATCTTTTAACCAAAGATCTATATTTTAAAAGACCCTCCTTATGAACATTATGTACACTAACATTTGTGAGCCATTGCTGTAGGCTTTAAGGGATTACTTTCAACCTTCAAGAAAAGAAAAAAAGAAAGCTAATATGCTATATCCAAAGAGCATAATGTATCAAGGAATTGAAATTATAGAAATCAATTATAAACAATTATGATCAGGCAGCAGCAGAGCCTATACTTTTGAAACAGGGATTCTGGCACGCTTATGTTTTAAATCATCATGTAAACAATTTTGATGGGGATCAAATACAGAAAGATAAAACAGCTGACACAAAACTGTATGAAGCCTAATATTTATAATGGTCTCTGATTATGACTATTCCAAAGGACCTCAGGGAAGTTTATTTCAATGTGTAAGCCAAGAAAGACTACTACATTTACCTCTTGGTGAAAGTAATACAAGGTTATTATATCTTACACATAGACAATATCTACTTTAATCTCAATCACAAGGAGAAAAATGTCTGCAAACAATCATAGTCAGGAAGCACTTGGAATATTAAATATAATGCATTCATGCAATAAGATAAATTTCAAAAACAACTTGAACTTCATTGCCTTATTGTGCACATAGTATTTGTTAGATGAGTACACATACTTTTCTGATGAGATGTCCCATGATGTTCATAAAATTCTCAAAAGACATTTTGATGCCAATTAATTTAGCACATTGGTTTTTCTTTTTACAGCACTACAGCTCAAAAGATACACAGAACTTATTCTACTTTAAAAAAAATTCCACATGGTCTTTTTCTATAAGGAAAAACTCATTGGGCATCTACTGTCCACCTGTTGTAGGAGTTATGTGGACAAATAAAAAGGTATGAATTTTCAAGAAGCTCACATACTGAAAACAGAGAAATAAATTGTATAGTAGTGACGATATTAGTCCTTTGACATTCTTGACAGTATGAAAAATGAGCAAAAAAATGAATTAAGGTCTTTTCCTGCCTAAGCCAAGAGTGTTGTTGAGGTTAGATGTTCTTCCTTCATTAAAGCCATCAATAGCTGCACTGTGTGTGTGGAATTCACATCTCATGTTTTGTAACTGACCTCAGACTAGGTTATGATTAGCATTAGCTTATGCTTATAATCAAGACACAAGTTTTTCCAAAAGATTCCAGGAGATTAAAAAACTGTGGCACAACTTCATTTTGGAATTCCCTGGTAGTTCGTATTTGCTAAGAAGTTTAGATTACACTCACAGGTTAACCCACACATACATATGATTCTACATATTAAGTTTTCTGAATAATGAAAATTAAAAACCATATTTTCAAAGTATTAGTTGTTTTTAAAGAAGCCATAAAGATTTTACTTCCTGGAGTTTAAAATTTATTTTCATCAGATGTATTACATTCCAGACAAAAAGATACTCTGCTCATCACTACTCTGCATGATGTGAATCTTATTAACTTATACTTGAAAATAAACTACAAATAAATTATGATTATAAGATAAACAAATGCATAACGTAAGCAGGCATGATATTCTAAGGAAAGAAATTTGCATGTAAGCTTGTGTTCCTGACATGAGAATTTAGTTAAGGATGAAATCTTGGAGCATATTCTCATGACAGGATGGATCTATTAGTGTGTTTAAGTATTTGCAGACCTTATTCATTTCCAAATACTTCACTAATGTCGGAAACAAGACAGTTCCTGGATTGTAAAACAGAACAAACCACCCTAAAACATCTGGCATACTTACACACTTTTCGCTGTCAAATACATAGCACAAATGTTTATTTGATTCAGAATCTTTGCATATGAAAGTGAATATCCTCTTGTCAGTTTTATCATCTGCACAAAATGATATTCTATGAAGCTGGCAATTGTGTTGGACTTCCTGTGGACACGTGGAAATAAACATAGTTGAAGAGATTTTTTTTCCATTTTCTGAAATAGCAGCTTGTGTTAGTAACATACAACTTATGACTTTAAAAGTGAAACAATCATCTGTCAAACTTTGGTTTTTTAATTACATAAACCCCAAACTTAAACAAATACGTAATGGAGATGGACTTCCTGACTCAGGGTTAAACCAAGACAGTCATTTCAATGGAACTTAGGAAAATACAAGCAAAATACAAGAGGATCAGAAGCCCATGGGCTGTTTGTGCTTGCTGCAATTTGGTAAGTCAGATTTACATTACCATTCATCAAACTGAAAATGAGTACCTAAATGAGATATACAAATAAGTGTTAAGAGAATTTGTCCGTAGTAGTGCATTCTTTTCCCGCACACAAAGCAAACTGTAAGTCATCAAAGGGTAGCTTGGCACGTGTGGCAATTAAAGTGAGGAAGTCTACTGCATGATTATAATGCTTTCTATCACTACTAGGTAGCCGGATCCGTCCATTTCAACAGCAGGGAGGAGCAATGCTAAACAGAAGGGATCAACTTACTAAAGCTTTAGATGAGGACAACTTCCCTTTCTTGTGGTAAGTGCTGGGATGGACAATGACCACATCTGTCTGAGACTTTCCTTCTCCTATACGTTGTCTGATTGGCCATCTCTTCTCATTGACATATATTTTTGTTTTAATGCTAATATATAAATGTCAATCAAGTAATAGACTTTAGTTGCACTATATGCTGTGAAATATTGATAGAAGGTCTATACCAGTTTATTAATTGTATAATTACGTTAATGATACATAAATAGAAAATATGTTTGCCATATAACATATAAAAATAATTCATTATTTTCAAAATAATTCGTAATATATAAAACCATTCACGAAACTGATGGGGAACCTATGCAGTCCCTTTGTGACTCACCACCCAGTGTGATCCCAGAGAGTCTTTAGTTATGACACTCGGGGGTTACCCGCAGTTTTGTTTAGATTAGCAGGGGTATCTTCCTGCAAATGACTAAAACCTGTCATTTTAGTATTTGCACAAACTTTTTGTTGTTGTGATAGAACTTTATGAATTTTAAATGCAGTACCAATGTTCGGTGAGACAGGATAGAGACTTGGAAATGCAACGAAGCACAGTCGGAACACAATTATCCTCTAACATGGATGACACTTTACTGGAATGGGAACAAAAGATAAGTATAGCCCCTGTTCACCTATAACAGCTTTTTCCAGTACCGCACAATCTTCGTTTGCAAAACAAAAGAAAAAACAGAAAGAAAAAATGACACAGAAATGAAGATATTGGAGCCAACTGAGATTGCTCCAATATCTCTCTCTCAATATATATACACACATATATATACACATATATGTTATACATACAAATATATGCATATTAATATACATGCATATATATATATATGGTAGAGAGTGACAATGCAACGAAAAGCATAGCAACCACAGAGTAGTGTTATATGCAATTAAAAAGAAAAGTAATTCTAGTCATTCACTTCCTTTTTAACGTTAAATGGATATGTAGTAGCAAATGTCCAGGCAGAACAGGGAAAAGAAAACAACAAAGTACGGTGCTCCTGAAATACATTTTTTATAGGAAAATATGCATGAGGCAGGATTTAAAAATTCACTATTAATCTAACATGGGCTTGAGAGGAAAACGATTTCCTATCCTATTTGAGGGGATGCATTCTATATTCAAGAATATATACATATTCTTGAAGGACCTTCCACCATCCTTTCACCACCTCCTTGTCTGCTTTCAGCCACCTCAGCAATGACAATTCGGGAATAGCCATAACCAAAGTAAAGTTTCCAACTCTTTGTCATTTAACATGGAGAGCGGAATAGTAACAGGAAGTAAGACAGGACAATCGTGGGAGGTCTAAACTTATGGTTTGAAAGTCTTAAGGAATGTCATTGTTCTTTCATTTGGAATTGAACAATAACTGTGGGTATATCCATGCCACAGTCTCATTATTCTCAAACCTGTTGAAAAAAGCCAAATTTCCATGGAGATTCCAATGCTGTAGGCTAACACAGGGCCTTAGAACTTATTTTTGCAAAGGGCTCAGATATCTTTAATGCAAGTATTCCATGGACTATAGGGAGAAAGGTGGGTTACTACATGTAGCTAGCAGACTGTGCACTGCACCAGAACCCCTTAAATATCAGTGTGCCCAAGAATCACTGTGCTTCTTCTTAACCTGCAGATTCAGACTCCAGGTCTAGACCCATTCAGGTCTAGAATGGGGCCTGGGATTCTACACTGCTAGCAAGCACCCAGGTGATGCTGGCCCACAGACCTCACTTTGAATAGCAAGCCACTGTCAGGGGGTGTGATATGCACACAGATAAAAATACCAATGACAAATGCTGAACTACTGAAAAGTTGCAGACCTGTGAAAAATATTTTCATAATCTGTTTACAGGTTAGGGTTTCCTTAGACTTTCAAATGGAATTAATTTGTCAGTAAGCAACTTGTTGTGTTTGAGGGAAACACTGGCAATTTGTATTTGTAAATAACTAGAGCTGAATGTTAATCAGTTTTGCCAAAGTGATGCTCATGGTCTTATCAACATTAAGCAATACTTCTGAGGCACTGTGAATAAAGTGTTGTATTAGTTTTCTAGGGCTACCATAACAAAATATTACTGACTTGGTGGCTTAGATAACAGACATTAATTTCTTCACAGTTCTGGAGGCTAGGAGTCCAATATTAAGATGCCAGCAGGTTTGGTTTCTGCTCCAGTCTGTCTCAGCTTGACCTGCAGATAAGGTTGCCTTCTTGCTGTGTCCTCACGTGGCCTTTTGACTGTGCACACACATCTCAGTCTCTCCCTATTGTTGTAAGGACACCAGTTACCTTGGATTAAGGCCCCAGTAAGACCTCATTTAACCTTAATGACCTTAAATGCCCTATGTCCAAGGTCAGTCACATCAGGGGTTAGGACTTCCACTTAGGAATTTGGGGTGGAAACATTTCAGATCATAACAAGTACATACTGATGAATGTGAATCCAGAATATGTTCCACTCATATGTGGGATAGAAAACTAAAACTCAGACGCACAACAATGTGGTGGTTACCAGAGGGAAGGGGATGAGGGGCAGCACAAACAGAAACCGGGAACCAAATGTGATACAACATACAGATCATGTATCATAGAAATGTATCTTGAAACCTACACAATCTTCTTAACCAGTGTCATCCCAATGCATTTAATTAAACAATAGGTGAAAAAAAGAAAGCAGTATGTTTAACGAAAAAACAAACTCATTGGATTTGTAGGGGAGAAGGCTCTTAAATACAAGAAACTTAAGTTAATTCTATTATATGAGCAGAATTGTGTTCCCTCAAACTTCCTCACTTTCATCACCCTCATAACCTCAGAATGTGACTGTCTTCGGAGATAATACTTGAAAGAGGTGATTCAGTTACAATGAGGCCAGTAAGAGTTTTTTCCAATCTGATGGAAAATTGGGTACACAAAGAGACACCAGGGACCCGAATGCATAGATGACCGTGTGGAAGGGCAGCCAAGAGGGCAGCCACCTGCAATCCAAGGACAGAAGCCTCAGAGGAAACCAACTCCAGCCTGCAGAACAGCGAGAAAATAAATTTCTCTTGTGTGAGACATCAGGTCTGCGGTATTTTTCTGTTATGGCAGCCGTGGTCAAACAACACACGCCGGTTATGCCTAAGGGCCGTCAGTCCGTCCAGGGCACATTAAGAAACCACACACAGCTTTTGTCCCTTCCTGCAACTCTTTCACAGCACATGAAGGAAATTCCTAAATACAAGGCTCAATACTGTTAAATGCACTTAAAGTACATTATCCCAAACACAGGCTGAAAAACAGACCACTCGGAAAGCAATCCCCAAAGTTCATGTTCTCCACAAAAATCCTACAGAGTTTTAAATGGTCATTAACTGAGAGCTAAACAGTTCAAGTTGGTAACACATTTTAAGTATTTAGTAAAATAGGCATATAACTATAATTGAAGATTAGAGCACTTCTGACATTAAAAAAATAAGCCTTACCTTTGTTTTGGGTTCTAGAATTTTTACTCCATAAATTGATATTTGTAACTCAACTTTAGGGATTTTCTGGCCTTCGGATTTCTTGATATGTCTTGCAAACTACAAATAAAAAAATTATTCACAAAACTGTAATTGTTTCTATGAAAAATAAACACAAATATATATGGAGCTTGTCTTGTGTTGAACTTCCATTAAATTATTGCCCATTATAACTTTTTAAAAATAATATTTTATATGGACTTCTTTCATGATATTTTTAAAAACTGCTGTCATACCAGTTGAGACACGAAAACTCCTTGTGGGAAGATAAGCAGAGATCAATATTTTTTCCTGTGGGCCTTTCACTTTTGATACCGTTAGAGAACTTGCCTGACCAGTGTGGGACATGCCAACTTTGCCATTTCTGGGCCCTTCATTTGGTGTATGGGCTCAATCAAACCAATGAACACAAAGAGACAGGTTACCATATTCAAAGGCAAGCCAAGAGCTGAAGCAATTATCCCAGCTAAAACACAGGGCTCAGAATTAGACAACTGGACGAAGTCTAGAATGACAAATGTAGCGAGCTTCTTGAAAACATAAACTTTTAAAAATGCTCTCATGGTAGTATTTATTGTATCTTCTTATTGAACTAGTAAGTGTACATCAATGCTTGTAGGTTGTATTACAAAATCAAAAAGAAAATCAGAATAGTCACGTATTTAGTACACAGAATTGTTGCCTCTCTGCTAACTCTGCTGGGTTTAGTGCCAGAAAAAAAATTACAGGAGCCCAGTTAAATGTGAATACTGAACAATAACTAATTTAAAAAAGCCTTTTAATCTTAGAATACACATGCACACTCTCTATGTATACACACAAATACTACTTATATGCTATTTAGTGTAAGTATGCCCCATGCAATATTTGGAACACACTTATACTAAAAAAATTTTTTTATCGTTTAACTGAAATTCAAAGTTTATTGAGTGTTTTGATTTGCCTAGCAATGCTATTCTGTCCCTACCTTCCTTCTTTCCTCCCTCTCCCTCTTTCTTTTTAAGAAACAAAAACAAGAAGAAAAAAATTATTGAAAAGAATCGGATTTCTTACCCTCTTTTAGGGCTTCAAAATGTTATTTCCTTATGCAACATCTTTTCAGCATATGGATCAGCCTAACCTGACTGAACTAGATCACTCACAAGGCAGGGCCTCAGTTCTTTCCTGTGTGTCATATTTATTTGCATTGTGCATCTGTCTCTAATTAAGAACAGATGTGAAAGTACATGGCCTAGTTCAATCCCGGAGCAGAAAGTGGCTAAAGGTCTTTTTCTCTTTTCATGGCCTGCCATGGCACTGCCACGGAGAATGATGCACTTAATGCACACACAGATGCCTTGAGGTATCTGCCTCGATGTGTGTGTGGGGGGCAGTGTGCCATTTCTTTTATTTCCCTTTGTGTGGTATAAGTTTTTAGCTTGCTGTCTGTCCTGTTCTATAAATGTAATCAAGTTGGGTTTTTTTTTGTAACCAAGATTCTTACATTCTGCACATGAATCTGACTAATTTGTGCCACGTTAAGAAACGTGTTCTGTTTTGGTGAAAATCATTAAAAATGATCCCAGCTCTCACCCAAATCAAGAAGATCAATTTTGTTTCTTTTCCCTTCATGATCTCCTTCCTGCTTTGGCCTAATTAAAACAATTTGGGGATGCTCACATGTGAAGGCTTACAAAATAAATCCATCTGCATGAACACATCTGAACGAAGGCATTCCATCTTGGGCTGCACAAGCGTTCTGAGCTGGCTTCCCGGGATGTTCTTTTTCAGACACAGACAATGAGCAGTGGCTCTTGAGGCTTTTTCTACATCTGGACACAACAATTCCTGTGACCTCTTTTAGTTTCCAAAAAGTTTATCACAAATCAAACACTAATATTAAACTTGTCTTTTGAAATGTTTATTTTTTGCCAGGACAACGAAGGAAAGAAAGAATGAAATAATGAAGAAAGGAAGTAGGAGTGGGAGATATAAAAAAGAGAAGAGAAAACATAAAATGATACAAAGAAAAATAAACACGAAATATCTGATCTAAGGCTTGTGAATCCTTTTTGTCTGTTTCATCAGAATAAGTCATTGTGATCAAAGGTTCTTAGGTCACCCAATCCAATACTGTAGGAATCTGGTTTTACAGCTACCCCCCCCCAAATAACTCTTTTCTGCTACAAACAGATTTTTGGCATTAAAAAAAAATAAACTCCTCAGTTTTATTTTCGTGTCTTGCAAGGTTCAGCCTGGTTATTGGCCTTGACTGTTGCACAGATGTCGTGAGACACTTATGCCTAAGGTTACATTCACTCAATCTACATTTTAAATCACAGTACGATATTCTCTTTCAACCTATGGTTTCTGAAGTTTAAGATTGCTATATTCTATGGTCTGCATGCTCTAACTCTAAGTCTCTTTTCTTACTTATAGATCTCTTAACTGTGTTTCAAAACACATGTGGGAACTTGCATGTGGAAGTCATGCTCATCCTTTTTACTTATATTATAATCTTTCTGCTCCCTACCTACCACTTGAATGTTAATGTTTGAAGAGCCTGTTTGCAAATCTCTTGCCATTTTAGCTTCAATGGATTCATTTCTTGGTCATCCAGATAGTGATCTACCATTAGAATTTGTATATTAACAATCCAAAATAGTAATTATTTAAATCAGGCAAAGCCTCAGCATCCGGGGGGATACAACCAACGAACAAAAACGAGCCTTTATCACATAAAATGATGGGAAAGGATGATCTATTACTTGAAATACACAAAGTACTCAGTTAAATAAATGTGAGTGGTAAGTGGAACAACTAAAGAAGACTTAAAGATTTTCAATATCATCATGCAATTTCTATTCATTCCTCACAGGACTTTTAAAAAAGTGAAATCTAACTTTATTACTAAGGAAATGTATATTATTCATATTAGGCAAGAAAATTAATCAATTTATTACTTTGGGCCAAATATTCTGAGCTACTATTTCTCTTTGTGGTTCTTATATTTGTTTATTTTAAAGTGTCCCTATTAATGCAACGGGGAAATCTACTATGTATGTATATTTGTCATTAAATTAGGTCTAGCCATTTTATTAATTAAATGGCTGGTTATGGACAGAGCAGAGCCCCATGTCATGGCGTGCGGCTGTATTAAGAACACAGTGTTGCAGACCTGAGAGCTGCTGGTACTAGACCTGAAAAGCCCTCATCTGGTGACAGATGTTAATTAGACTTTCTGCGATCATAAAAACAAAAACAAAAGCAAAACGAAGTGTCATGTTAAACAGAGAAAGTGAAGTTGAACAAAAAACCCCTGCTGGACCACGATTGAGCATAACTTCAGGGTGATTCCCAAGAACACATTCCTTGCTTAGGATATAAACTGAGTCCTCTAAAATTTATACTAGTTGTACTCATAAAAATAAGTAAATACTATTAAAAATTAAACCCATTACAGCAACACTATATTAAATATATAAAAGTTTAAAGAGTTTTTACATTTTGGGAAAATTGGTACTTTCTTAAGTTTCAGGCTAAAAGAATCAAGAAATAGGTTTTTCTGAGAAACGCAGAACAGGAAAGTAAATATAAATAAAATATCTAACAAATAAAGTAAAACATTACACTGTAGTGGATAAAAAGCAGTCGGAATACATATGTTTAAGAAAACTAAGCAGCAAATTAAAATGGGGAACGTGTACTCAAAGTGGAGTTAATAAGCAGATTCCTTTATTTTTAGTGGAGCCATAGCGCCATCTTCTGGCCATTTCTATATGACACCAGAATTAAAGAAGAGCCATGATCTAAATACTCTTAACATCCTTTTGAGTTGTGGTCTCTGACAAACACAAAGAAATAAATTAAAAATACGTTAAAAATTGGTTTATTAATTCTCATTGGTTCCTGAATTATTACCTTCAGATATACCGTCCTGATCTACAAAATTTTTGCAATCAGCCGAGTAAAGATTGCTTTTTATATACATATTATTTTTCTGGAAGATACTTGAAATACAAGGTGACTATCAACTGGTTGTGCATTTTCAAACTATACCACCTAATATTTTTTCTTACTGTACATCGCAGCCCTTTCTTAACAGAGTATATTTGCGGATGTAACACCACACAGGAACTGCATAAAAAGTCTCACAAAAGTATGGGCTGGAGCAAAAGTAGGTTTACAGTTGTGAGTGCACAAAGCACAGAGTTCATTCTTGCACTTTTAAATTATTATATTATTTTCCATCCGAACAACCATAAAACTACTTTGTCCCACACTGTACATAAAAACTAGCTCTGTTTAGAAAGTATTCCATTTCAAATATCTCCTTACATTTTATGTAGCCATTATGTAATTGAATTCTTTTGGTTTGGGATTTGGGTTAACTAAATAAAGAACCTCCTAGGTATTAAGAGACATTAAGTATAAATGCCATTATTTTGTTACAAATATTCTGATTGTAGTGAAGTTGGACTCATGCCCAGAGTGTGAAACATACTAAATGTTGAAATAGAATCTTATTCTAAATGTTATCCATAAACTGTGAGACTTTTAAAAATCTCCATTAGTACTTTAAAGTATTGGCCAAAAAATAGAAAGTCTGAATCATTACCTAATGAGTAGTGGAAAGAAATGGTTGGCTAGCTTTCTTCCCAAGTGGGAGTGATAACATCTTGGGACCTTTTAGCATATTTACTTATAACATTACATAAAATATATGCATATAAAGTGAATAAAAAATTGTCCACTTTTATTTCTTCACCCAGAATACAAGACATCCCACTTAAGTTTTCCCTCCATTTAAACACTCAGAATCAGCCTGGTATGACATCTCAAAGCAAAACAATTGTCCATGACTTTATCTAATACAATCTGAAGCCTAACTCTTCTAATCTAACTAGAGTTGGAGAAGAGCTGTTTCTCAAAAAAAAAGTGACAGCAGCTACAGAGAATAACAACTGTATAAACAAAGTCAGTCCTTACTTAATGTCGTCAACAGGTTCTTCGAAAAATGGCGAGACAATTAATAATGGAACCAATTGTACCATAGACTAATTGACCGAAATAAGAGTTATGTTCCTGTGGAATCTCATCAATGTTATAACAAAACAACATTAAATGAAGTGACGTTACTAGAGGACCTGTGGTTGTAGTGGTATGTTAGATTTTCTTAAGATAAAGATGAGAATTCTGATGGAGGCAGCTAAGTGTTCAATGATGAGTGGATAGATAAAGAAAATATGGTGTGTGTGTGTGTATTGTTCAGCCACAAAAAAAGAAGGAAGTTTTGCCATTTGAGACATGGATGAACCTTTAGGGCATCAGACTGAAGTGTCTGCAAGGAAACATGAATACTGTATGGTTTCATATGCAGAATCTAAAAGAAAAAATTGATTGATGGAGACAACAGATCAGTGGTTGATAGAGGCAGGTGATGGGAGGCGAAAAGAATGTATACGGGTAGTAAAAAGGTACAAACTCCAAGTAAAAAATAAGTAAGTCCTGGTGATATAACTTACAACATAGTGACTACAGTTGAAAATAATGTATTATATATTTGAAAGTTGCTAAGGGCATAGATTTTAGTTTTCATCCTAAGAAAAAAATTCTGTGTGGTGATAGATGTTAACTAGATTTATGGTGATCATTTCACAATGTACACAAATATCTAACTATTATATTAAAACTAATGTAATGTTACGTGTTAGTTTTATATCAATATATGAGATGAGAATTCTGCTGAAGGAGATTTTCAAAATCTTGCTTTGAGTGAAAACAATGTCCCTTAGGATTGGGTACAATTAGAAAAGACATGCTAAGATGTGCAACATCTTACATAAGATTTTCTCAGGAAGCTGACTGATTGCGGGCATGTGAGGTTGCTTCCTCAATGCCCCTTTCTGTTCTTGGTCTCACCAGGCCCCGTGTCCGCTCATGGACACGGTCAGATCCTCTCGGATTTGCCGTTAAGCCAGCTTTAACCTACAGCATCACTGCACAATTCTACTTTGGAAGCAATTCTAACTTCGCACTTGTTTTTTTAACTGTCATAGATTGAATTTATTGAGGAGTTATTATGTACCAAGATTTCATATATTTCCTTTAGTCATTTTTTAAAATTTTTCAGTTACAGTTTACATTCAATACTATTCTGTATTAGTTTCTGATGTAAGCATAGTGGTTAGACGGTCATGTGCTTTAGAGAGTGGTCCCCCCATTATTTCAAGTACTCACCTAGCCACATACACAGTGATACAATACTATTTACCATAGGCCCTGTGCGGTAACTTACACCCTTGTGACTACTCTGTAACTACCAATGAGTACGTCTTAATGCCTTCACCTTACTTCACACTTACAACTGAATATGATATTCTAACTATTAGAGATAATTGTTACACCGTTACTAGTTACTGAGTTAGGGCATGAGTCCACAATGTCCAAGCAAAGCAAAGGCAAGCTACCGAATGTCAAAACTTATGAAATATTGCCATTACAGTTTTTGCTATGTATGAGAAATTACACTTAGAAAAATATGAAGTATGCCATATTGAGAAAAAATTATGTGTACACACTTATTACTGAATTGTTTTCCTTTGTCTTTTGACATTTATTCATTAGCCCATTTTTAAAAGGGCAAAGCTATATCTGCTACAAAGTTATTCATGCTTTGAATTTTCATTACTCTACTGACAGACTAAGACAGGATCATTTATGCAAAGGGCTCTCCCTACCTTTAGTTTTCTTACAGCATCTCGGACCACTTCCGTTCCTTTGGGCTGCTCCACTTCCGTGCTGCCAAGAAACTAAAAATTTTCATCTGTGAGACACAGGCTTTACTCCATTATACATCATTAAATCATTTTCAAATATAGCATGGTATAACAGAAGGATGAAATAGTAATGCAAATCCAAAACCTAATTAAACAGAAAACTTATTAATTTATATTATTTTGAATCATAGGAAAATGTCAAGCTAGTCAGCAAAAGACAGATACCATATGACCTCTCTTATAACTGGAATGTAATGAACAAAATAAACTAACGAGAAAAACAGAACCAGAGACATGGAAACATGGAGCAGACTGATGGCTGTAGGAGGGGAGGAGGGAAAGGGGAGAAGGAAGAGGAAGGGGCTTGTCAAAGAATGAGTCTGAATTCCTCATGGACTTGGACGAGGGGGAGGGGACTGACTGTGGCAAGAGAGGTCGGCTGAGTGCAGGGAGGAAAAAAGGGAAAAAGGAGTTGGGACAACTGTAATAGAATAAACTATAAAAATGTTAAAAAGTCAACATATTATCTAATCACATAAACTTATTATCTGAAGATTTTTTAATGCATGTTCCTAAATATTTTACATGCAGGTGTTTACTAGAAAGAAAAAAGATACGTCACTGAGCCCAAAGGAATAAAGTTGACTTCAAAATTTAAAATTTAAAACATATTAAAAATGAAATAGTTATCTGTAAATTCAAGGCATATAAATGGATCTTATTTGCTGCTGTATTTAAATGTCAACAGTGCATTTTAAGATATTGATATGGTTAACTAGAGTTTATAACCTCAAATAACCATTTTTGTATTTTTTCCAATTACGACACTGACACTCAGTATAGTATATTTAAAGTACAAACTTTTAAAATGCCCAATATATACTATTCACCAAAGCTATGAGCTAAAGTACACTAAAAAATAAAACACACATGATCTACAGTTTTACTATATTTGCAAATATCCCTGAAGGATTTTGGTTAAAAACTGGTCTATCAAAAGTTTCATAATAATTAATGCATTGTACCCTGGGTGGTGTGGCTCAGTGCACTGAGTGTCGGCCTGCAAACCAAAGAATCACTGCTGGTTCCATTCCCAGTCAGGGCACATGCCTGTGTTGTGGGCCAGGTCCCCAGTAGGGGGCGTGGGAGAGGCAACCACACATTGATGTTTCTCTCCCTCTCTCCCTCCTTGCCCATCTCTCTACAAATTAAATAAATAAAATCTTTTAAAAAATAATTAATTTATCCTAAAGAGACATAATACCTCCTAAACAGAAGTCCAATATCATAAAATACTCATGAGCATTTAGAATTGGAATGTGGGTATTTTACTCTATAAAATATTTCTATGTAAATAGCAAATTATCATTAAATTCATTAAGTATCTATAGTTTCACACTTTCTTGTTACACACTACCAATTATACCACCAAAGTGAGTCACAAATTCATCACTTCTTATATAAATAGATGTGTGTGCATACACTTTACAGCAACTGATTAAGTACAGTCCTTTTTTTGTATTAGCTCACAAAATAGTAATGCTATAGTATCTTTTAAAACCACATTTAGACCTTTCCTTCTTAAAAAAATAGCAATAACAACTAAAGAAATTAGACTTCCCATTTTCCAGTTGGGCTCTTTGTATAACATGATTGAGAAGTATCCAGGAAGCAGGTTGAAATATAAAATGTGGATTTCTCGATCAAACCAGCATCGTTAAGGGTAGGTCTAGAAAATTATGTTTATAAAAGCATCACAGGTGTTTCTTTGTACTAAAGTCTAAGGAACAGCATTAGAAACTATTTAAAGGTCAGGAAGACTGTAGAAGGCAGATACAAAAGGTGAGCTCAAAATACAGGAGATAAGCATTAAGGCAAAAAAAGTTTTGCTACTCAGTTTCTGTAATTCCTAATACGCTCAAAGTATACCAAACAACTGTTACGAGGATCTACATACAATATCATCAGGCACTTTGTTTGCCCAACTGAGACTTCAAGTTTGTTGTCCAGGTCTGTAAAAAACCCACCAAAATTAATGGAGAAATTCTCAGCTTAAGAGGAACTCAAAACCAGTTACTAAGATGTGGGAGACAGCCAAATCTATTCCCAACACTAATATACCTGTCACATTTCTTCTATGTCAAATGAGTACATTCGACCTTGACTACTATTTGATAGTGTCACATGGGACCTTTAAACCTAGATCAGTGCCTAGGAGTCTAATTTAATTGGTCTGGGGCAGAACCGGGACATCTGTGTATTTGAAAGCTCCCCAGGCGATTTTAATATGCCATCGGGTTTGCAAAGCACTGCTTTAGGTCATCCAGAAAAGATAATGGATTCAAGTGAGAGGAAGGGAGTTAGCAAAATACCGGCTACTCAGTTCTGAGTAAACCCATGGGGTGAACTCTTACTCTCAACATCGTTGAATTTATCATTGAGAGATTCCCCACGAGTGGGTGGTGTAGTGCCCATGGGAATGGGGGGCCAAGGCAGGCTCTTTATTTGTGTTCCTCATCTAGAAGAAGGAAGTGCCTCAAGTGTCAATAACAGGCTGTAAGAGTAACTGGAAATATTTACAGAAAGAATGTTCATAATTCAGCAGAAATGTCATGAGTCATAAGTGTTATATGTAAATAGGCCATACGGGAAAATTATGGAAGAACTCCAAGTACACTCTAAATGAAAAAACCTCTTGCTGTGCTCCAGGAACCTTTTAATATGTTTCTATCACACGGGTTTTAATTAAAACATCTGAGCAATGAAACACAGAGAGAAGCCTTGGATGATGGTGGGAATTAAACCACAGAGACACTTCATATGGAGCTTACGAGCTAACTCAATTTTGCTATGCAATGTTAGGTGACCTAAATAGAAATGATTTTACAACTGAAAAGTAGATTATTTCTTATAATATTTTCTGTGGTTTTAAATAATGAGAGTCATCATGATACATACATTAAATTATTCATATTTGTACACACTCCATGTGTATCTACATTCAATATTTATAAAACTCTTAAATATGATGCAGCACCCTGGAATAAACGCAAGGCTTAGGCTCTGTAGATGTTAGAGAAGTCACTTAATCGGCCTTATCTCACTTTTGAAAAATGAGAATGATAACATGCTCTTCTTTCCTTACAAAATTTTCTGATGATCAATTACAATAGGAGGCAAAAGAAAAACCCTCTGTAAATCACAAAGTGTTTTATAATTAGGAGGGATGGCCACTCCTGTATTCAATGATTTAATGGATACTCCTGGTACCTGCTCAGCAATCCTTAGATCCGTTTTGTCAGCCCTGGGCCCACGGTCCCCATGCTTGGCTGGTAATGGCGCAATTCAAGACCTTCAGAAGACCTTTGGGCAATGAGGTCACTTTGCTGGTACTGACAGCTGGAAATTCCTGGGAGTTTTTGCTTCGCTCATATCACCACATTCTTTAGCCCATGACTGGTGTGGAAGTACGGAGTCCCAGCCCATTTGCTTGGAGCTGGGGAAAACTCTGTGATCTAATGCAGAGCTTCCCATGGAATCGGGTGAGGCTGGGCTCCCTCCACCTGACACTGGGCTCTTCCTTAACTTCTTCCCTTTGCCTGCCTGCTTTCCCACACCTGTACTGGTTGCTCCTAGAAGTGCTCTTTTAATAAATCACTTGCACCCCGATCTTTGTCTTGGTGTCTAATTCTGAGAGAAAATGATATAAGACAGTGTTAAATGCTTAAATGCTTATATTCAGGGACATGCAATCTAGGATACAAACCCACAAAGAACTGAAATACTTAAAAAAAGTCTTGCATAGGACTTAGAAGTAGGACTTTGGTTTTCATCTTTTCCCTCTCTGCCTGGTACCTGAAGGATGAAAGACAATATGGAACCGAATCACGCCATGGCCAAGGGATTCATCCATCCCATCCCAACCGGGTTGTTAACTAGCCAGAGGAACAAGGACTGAGGGCTCTGGACTGCAAAATGCTAGGCCTGGCTGTCATCAGAGGTGAGGCGTTTTGCTAAAACGAAGAAACTAAGCCACGTCCACATGTGAAACTGGAAGCCACTAGACCCTTCCCAGTCTAGCTCTCAGGAGACTGGCTGCTAGTCTTCTGAGGCTCCAGCTAGGATTCTTCTCTAGGCAAAGTAGCAACCTGCTTTGATATCTCCCCTAGGTGATTCTGATGCATGTGTAAGTGCGAAAGCCATGTGTTCTAGGTTATTCAACATCAAACCAGATAAGGAGTTCTAAAGATACAGAACAGGAGAAAATGAAGAAAGAAAAATATCCAACACTTCTCCAAAAATAAAGGTATGGATTTTCAGATTAAAGAATTTAAGATTATACCACTGTAATGAGTGGAAACCCACATACAAAAGCACAATACATTAGGTTCATCATCAACACATTACAGATCATAAAAGATCCCGGAGAGAAATAGGCAAAGAAACAAATAACCCCACAAAAGACCAGGAATATGAATGACATCAGAGTTTACATCAGCAATAACAGAAGAAAAATAACCTCAAATTCTAAGAAAAAATAATTTCAAATTCCAAAGAAAACTAACTTCAAATTCTAGGGCAAAAGGATGACTTACAGCCAAGTTTCCATGTTGTGAGGGAAGAAAAATATGCACTGAGATATGGAAAGGACCAAAAACTTTACCTTCTATGAGTCAATTCCCAGTAAGAAGTTAAAATTAAACAGAAGAAAAATGGAACCCGGGAAATGGGAGCGACAACAGGGCGGAGTTGTTAACTACTGCAAACATGACAAATCAGGGCACAGCAGCCCAGCAGGGTATCCCAGAAGGAGACGAAAGTGACAAAGAAACACAGAAGAGTTCCAAGGGGGCTGCAGCGAGGGAAACTTGGGAGAAGAGCTCGGAACATTACGCTTTTTCCTTTATGAGCCTTGGGTAAACAGCTGACTGCCTGAAATGAACACGGATTACTTTGATAAAATAAAAATTAAATTAAGCCTCCAAATGATAAGTTAATGTTGCACATATTCATTTTTTTCTTTAAAAAAAATT